TGCTACATAGCCAGTGGTGTCAAATCCCGGCAGGTCCACCCCTTGCTGAAACCACCACGGCAATCTAATTGGCCACTTCTTAAATTTGCACCCCTTTTGATGAAGTTGTACACAATTTATTGTCTCCAACCTCAAACAGTAGCGGTTCCAGCCATCATCCCACCGCGTCACTCTTTCCGCATGGGGAACCACCCGTTCGTGCATCGGTGCCTGTTTTATAATCTGCCTGTGGGACGCCAAACACCACCTTAGCAATAACTAACGGCCGCTCGGGCCAAGGCGTCCCACTTTCTACGGACAGGGCAGTCCTGGGCGAATATAGAGTGACCCGTGTTGTTTTCGCCATTTCTATTGCAGTTTATGCAGGTAGGACCACCCCCTTCGGCGGATCTAGGGCAATCCGCCTGTAGGTGCGGTCCCCCGCAATGGTTGCACAGGTCCACCTGCTCTGTGCAACTTTTCCGCCCATGTCCGTAGGCCAGACACCGACTGCACTGGACCAGCGGAGACTGAAGAAAGAAAGAAAGAAAGAAAATTTTTTATTTGCACACTGATACAAGGAAATAAAATAAAATAAGAAACAATACAAAGAAAAAAGACGGCGCAAAAAGGCAAGAGCTCAGCTTAAATGCCGTGACACGAGTGTGCTCGAGTCACGGCGCTGATTTTCAGCACTTGCCCGTTACTAATAAAATATTACATTTAATAATAATAATAGAAAACAGTAAAAAAATATATATATATACAATTCAAAATTAAAATAACAAAAATTATTTGTACAATAAATAAAATAAATAAAATAAATAAAATAAATAAAATAAATAAAATAAATAAAATAAATAAAATAAATAAAATAAATGAAATAAATAAATCTCCCGAACTAACATGCGTTTAGTTCAGAAGATAACAGATGTCACATTCGCCTAATAAAATAACCTCAAGCGCACGCGACGACGCGGTAGGTACCGGTAAGCGGTAATGGCGTCCCCGTTTATACAAAACCGGCATCTGAATGTGTATTACAGTAAAAGAACGTTCTAATGGCCAGTGTTTTGAAAGAAAGTGCAACCAAAGCAGAGACGCCGCTGATCAACCACCACACCGCGCGGCGCTATTGGAGAACATGCCGATAATATAGTGAGTGTGTATAATTATAGTATGAACAATCTAAACAAACAAACGAGTAATAATGAATAAGTAAGATATTAAGTAAATAAATAAATAAATGTGTGCATTAATAGGTAGTTGTAAAGTGTAGATATACTAGGAACAAGTTGTACATGTATAATATGTAATAATGTGTATTATGTTGCAGCACGTTCATGGTATTACCATAGTCTGTAGTAATAATGCAGCCAGTATGAGTCACTACCTAATATCCTGTGATGTGTATTTTTAGGTCGATTTCTTGAACCGATACACACCAGTACCGGAGCAGGACACGAGACACAGGACACTGTGGACGGCCAAGCTAAGTCAATATCAGATACGCCGCGACCACCAGGACACAGCGGACACGTGGCAACAGGCAGCAACCCGCGCCAGCGACGCCCAGCTGGAGACCCCACCCGTGGCAGCAGGCCAGGACACATGTGGTAAACAACAACAATGTATAAAATGCCGGTAAATAAGATCAAAAACCTCCTCTCCAAACAAACCCCACACACATACATACATCTATACACACATCCGTACACACATACACACTGCACTTTAAACAAAATCTTGCTAAAGACAAAGTTATTGGAGAGAAAGTTGTTGATGCAGTAGCATTCTTTTAAGTTGGTACTTAAACGACTGTGTTGTTTTTAGGCCTCTTAATGGTGGTGGGAGATCATTCCAGCAGCGTGTCGCTGCAAATTTAAAACTGCCCCTGAAAGCCGCCGTCCTGTGCTGCGGTATCTTAAGCGGATCAACCTCAGAACGGAGACCGGAGTCATACCGAGTCTGACGCCAAGTGAGTTTTTCATATAAGTACTCGGGCTTACGGGTTGTTGTAATGTTGAACATTAGACTTGCCAGATGCGACCTACGCCTGGCAGCCATCTTCAATATGTTAAGCTTGTTTATGTGCGGTGTCACATGATGCCTACGCGGTATCGGCACACAAAAACGAACACAGGCATTCTGAATTCGCTGGATCAGCCTGTCAGTCCTGGAAAGTAGGCAGGGCCCATACACTGTGTCACAGTAGTTAAGTTTAGACAGGATCAGGCAGTCAACCAGTTGTTTTCTTAAAGGAATGCTTAGAAAATTTCTTATGCTGTATAGTACCTTAAGCCTGTAAAAACAATTCCTTGCTACATTTTTTATATGAACCTCAAATCGCAGTTCTGGATCCAGTGTTAAACCCAAACTGCAGGCTTGCTCTACTCGTTCAATTTTTTGTCCCTTAATTATGATTACTGGAGTAGCACATAGTATAGCTGCAACTTGTTTCCTTGTACCCATCACCATGTACTTTGATTTCAAAGGGTTCAAAACCAAGGAGTTACTCTCAGACCATGTCACCACTCGTTCCAGATCCTCGTTAACCCTCCGCACCGCCACGGCAGTATCATCCCCTCTGAAGGTTGCATACAGCTGGATGTCATCCGCGTACATATGGTACTTACAATTAAGAAAGGATCCGGCAATGTCAGCACTGTAGAGAATGTACAGTAACGGCCCAAGTATCGATCCCTGTGGGACTCCTCTGGACACCTGTAGCGGAGCCGATGACACAGTAGATCCATCATCCCTACGAATCTGCACACACTGTGTTCTATCAGTCAGATAACTTCTGAACCATTCTACGGCACCCCTGTCAAAGCCATAGTATGCCAACTTGGATAGAAGCAGATTGGTGTTAATAGCGTCAAAAGCTCGCGAAAAATCCAATAGAACCAGAATAGCGCCCTCACCTCGATCGCGCGCCTCTAGAATGTTTCCCACTACATCCAAGAGTGCGGTTGCAGTGCCTCGTCCCCCACGGAACCCCGACTGAAGGTCAGGGAGAATTTTGTTACACTCAAGATAATCAATCACCTGCAAGTACACCACTCGCTCCAGAATCTTAGACAGGCAGGGCAGAATGCTGATCGGTCTAAGGTCCCTCACAGTGACCGGATCGCTAACTTTTGGTATAGGGCGCACTATAGCACGTCGCCAGAGTCCGGGGAATGTGCGCGACTCTATAGATCTATTAATGATATCAGTTACTGTTTGTAATGTGTTCGTCAATGTGAGCTTTATCATATCCAGACTGATACCATCAACTCCCTGCGCGTTCGACCTCAGACTTCTGATTATGGTCAGAACTGTCTCCTGGTTAGTTGTTCTTAGCGAGAATTCAGCTGAGCCATGTTTATGGGTACCGAAGTAAGCCATTTGTGTAAAGTTGTCATTGCCATTTCCCGGGACATCCAAAAAAGCTCTGTTGATGGTATCCGGATTATCGAAGTGAGTGGGGAGTGACCTATCTTTATGATCAGGAAGTACATCAGACTTAAGGTTCCGCCACAATAGTTTGGGATCTTTAATTTGGCCATTAATTTTCTCTGAAAAGTATGCTTTCTTTTCCCTCACCAGTGCGGCGGCGGCCTCTCGCTTAAGATCCCGATAGTATTGACCATGATGCGGTTCTTTAGTTTTACGAAATCTGGCCCTAGCCCTATCCCGCAGCCTGAACATCAGTCTAATGTTGTCCGTAATCCATGGTGTGGGCCTCCTCTTAAAGGTCTTCTTTCTAGTGGGGGCATGAAGATCATACAGCTGGGTTATATATGAGTTAAAAAGATCGACCATGGAATCAACATCACCCAAATCTCCTACGGCAGACCAGGGAACAGTGTTCAGATCACTGTGAAAATGATCCTGCAATATATCCGAAAGGGGTCGAAACTCGACCATCCTAGATCCCTCTCTTGGTCTTTTAAAAACCGTTTCACACGTAATGAAGGAGTGATGGCCCAGCTCACTGATATAATCCACCACTACTCCACGTGTTACTGCGTCAGTGCACACAAGGTCAATGAGTGAGCCGCCATCGCCCACGAAATGTGTGGCCGTCTCGACCAGCTGCGCAATGTTCATGTATTCGAAAAAACTTGTGAGCTGTTTATATTTTGAAGAGTTTGCATCCAACAGGTTGACATTTAGATCCCCCAACAGTACGAGGTTATCATAGGGAGCTAATGCACTTACGCTGGCAATCATGGCATCTAAAAAAAGCTCCAGATCCTGCCAAGGCGGGCGGTACGCAGTCCCCACCAGAACCCTCCTACCATTTATGTTCAGACCCAGCCAGAGCTGCTCAACAGTAGGGTGCTCCGGATGAGGTCTCACACGTGCGTTAATACCGCTCTTTATATAGAAGGCAACCCCCCCGCCGCGCCCACCACGCGTTGTCGCTGGACGCGGTATGTGCCTAAACTTATACCCGCTTACACTCGGAGCACGATCCTCCTCCCCCTTACGCAGCCAGGTTTCATTGATCGCCATGACATCCACCGAGTGCTTCTGCATAGCGATCATGAACTCGTCCTGTTTCGTCCCCAGAGAGCCCGCATTTAGCAGACCAAACTTTATGTATTTACTAGTAGCCATCATTGCTTGGGTGAGTTATGGACAGCTCTGGTAACGTGCGATGCATGAGCTGTGAGGCGGATGCACTAGGGATTGATACCGCATTGCTACAGATTGTAAATGTAATGAAATTTTGTACCTGTATTGTAGATAGATTTGGTGATGAGGCTATTGTAGATGTCCCATGTGTGGATTGTTTAATTATTTTTAATTTTAGATGTAAGGTCGAAATGTTCTGTATATATAATGTAAATATGTTCAGTTTTATATGTAAAGTGTATGTGTATTTTATATATTGTATGTAAATGTTTGTTTGTTCTAGTAGAAGTGGTGTAGTCCTATATATAAAAATTATTTGTAAAAATAGTGTGAAAGTGGAAATGATATAATGATATAAAATCCATGTTATTAAATAAATGTGTACATAAATACAATTACAAACAAGCCGTTTCATTTGCAGTGCCAAAAATCCGGGACAAGTCCTCATCGGTGCGGATCCTCTGCGCTCTGTCTCCCGGCTCCTTCCTGGTGAAAATGCGGCCCTGCTTTGTCCACACAAACCTCCATTTCTGGACGAGGGCAGCGTCTCGCGTCCTCCGAAACAACTGACGGTTAACCTTCGTCAACCGCTCGTTGATGAAGAAGCGCTGCGCCGGGCCGGGCATGCCGAGGTCGGCAGTGGTCGCACCCCGCCGGACTCGCGCCGCCGCCAGAAGTCGATCTCGCAGGTCCCGGCGAGCGAGGCGCACAACTAGTGGCCGCGGGCGAGACTCAGTCGGTCCCGTCGAGCTCGTCACGTTGAGCTGCCTCCCACCGACCCGCTCCGCGCTAACAATGTCGCAGTCGTTGATACTGACCCCGAGCTTGTGACCAATTGCCTTGATAACATGAGCAGGATTCTCCGCCCCTGTCTCCGGCATGTTTGACACCTCTATGTCGTTGGCAAGGACGTCCTGGTCCCTGCTGTTGAGCTCCCTCTTCAAGTCCTCCACAACCTTCTCCAGACAGGTAGAGCTCGTGGAACCTGTAGCGGCGGTGGCCTGCTGCTCCAGTTTGTCAACTCTGGCCTCCAAACCGTCCATACGCGTGCTGCAAAAACCCAGGGCGGCCTTCAGCTGCGCCATCTCCACCTCCATCTCCCTCCGAAACCCCCTAATCTCGTCTCGCACCGCCCGAAGCTCCACAACAATCGCATGCAAATCGGTGTCCGCCGCAACAGACAACCCAGAGAGGGGTGCAGAGGCAGTATCACTAGGGCTTCTCGACATATCGGGCTCTGCCTCAGTAGGCATCCCCGCGCCATCAGTAGGGGGGCTCTGCGCAGAACCTCTGACGGGGGTTTCCGTCCGGTTGTCCCGGGCAATATGTTTTTTGCACTCGGGACAGCGCCAATTTGGTGCAATCCCAGCTTTTGTGGCGATGCCCACACATGCCCGATGGTATAAATTGTGGCATTTGCTGCATTTGGCACCATCCTGCGTTGCTATGAAACGCCCACAACCTCCGCATTTAACGCCCGGCATCTTCGATGAGTTTCGGGTGTTGCCGGAGACGACTAACAGATGGCGTTGGTAGCAACTTAGCGAGTAGATGTTATGTGGGGTCCTTCCCTCAAGTATAATTACTGTGGCGGGTAGTTCTAAAATTGTTGCTCACCAATCACCGGAATGCCGTCCTATAGACGCAGCCCTTATATAGCAGAATTTAGCGTACACTACACTGCCTGTGGCGGAAATGATCACTATGTTTAATAATAAATCGATTTTAGCACAAATGGACTTTTATTTGTAAACATTTGCAATAAAAACTTGGGACGAGGTACTCTGAGGTAAACGTTTTTTTTTTTTTTTTTTTTTTTTTTTTTTTTTTTTTTTTTTTTCGAACACTTTGACGTGCTGCAGGTCGACGTAGATTCTGCCAGCCGAGGTCAGCCTCTCCCACATCCGAGGTGAGACCTGGAGGACGACGTGGTTCTCGAGGGAGTTCCGCGCCTTCCTCCGGTACTTGATGGTCACGGCTGACTCCTCGGCTGACAGACCCTCCAGCAGACGCGCGTTCTGCGTCTTAAGAGCGGCCTTTATGTCCTCGTCTGTATTGTAGGCCAGAAGGTCCCGGACAATTACGAGTGGATTTCGCTGACGCGCGTTTTCCACCCGCAACTGCCCGTCGGTCCCGAGCTGCGCCGTCATCCTTTCCAGCTCCTCTTTGCTGGCGCAGCTCAGCACCACCCTCTGGTCCTTGACTTTTCGGACCTTTTCCACCTGAAGGCCGCTCACCTTCGCGTTCAGCGCCCGCTGGACCCGACCCACAACATCGCCGCTGGTCTCCATTGCGTCGCCGGAGGACACAACGACAGAGTGCTTCGTCTTGCAACCCGCCCTGCACTCTGGGCGTTTGGCGGGGGCCAGGTTGCGCTGGACACAGCTCGGCGGGACCGAACCGCGTTGTTTGTTTGATGGCGTCATTCCGGTGTCGGGAAACAGACACCGGATCGCATTGGGAGGAGCCGGCGACTCAGGAGTGGTGTCGCACATAGTGGTGGGGGAGAGCAAAGTAAGTGGAGCACCTGGCTCTCAAATATATGTACTGAATCCCTGTAAAGTGGGGATTCAATGTCAAAATTATAAAAACTAATTTTTCCCTGTATAGAGGGGTTATCAATTAAACTTAATGATTTAATAATTAAAATAATACCCTGTAAAAGGGGGTCAATAAAATTAATAAAATTGTCAATAATTAATAATAAATACCAATAATAAATTCTGTCAGATAACAGCTGAAATTTGGATTTTCAAATACAATCTGTGTCTAAATTACAGGTCAGACGTGGTGGAAACCAAGAAATATTTGGGTAAAAAGATGTCGTCCGTCCGAAACGTCAATAAAAATTTTTAGGGTCCAGAAAAGGTTTCCTTGTCTTTTCCCTATATAGTATAAGAGCGGGTGGAAGGCCAATTTTGACAATTTTTGTTATCCGATCGGGGCGTGCGATACGTCGGGAGAAGCGTCTCGGCGCGGGCCGTCCAACAGAGCGAAAATCCCGGATCGGTTTCCTGAAATAATTTAAAGTTTTGAATGAAAAACGAGTTTTTTCACCAAATTTTTGTCAATTGCGAGGATTTTTCGCGAAACGTCTGGAGTTATCGAGTCAAAAACCTATCCAAATCGTAGATTATAAGTTGCTGAAGCTGTATTAAAAATTTTGTCGCCCTAGGTCAAATATGAAAAAAGTAAAAAAATTTCGAATGAAATATTTTGGTCCAAAGTAACTTTAGGGATGGAAATTAGTTCGGGGGTTGAGCCCTCGACTGTGAAAAGTACCGAAATGGTTATTGGGAGCTTAGAGGAGATGGTAAAAACTGAAAACTGCTCCGAAATCGGTTGTTTGGTTGTTTGGTTTAGGTTAGGTTAGGTTAGGTTAGGTTAGGTTTTTTTTTTTTTTTTTTTTTTAAACAGCAGGAGGGAAAATCCTCATGGAGACTCACACCTCCCCACTAGTAGGGAGGTGTGAGTACTGCCGGACTCTTACCGGCTAAAAACCCTCCTGCTGTGCCAAAGTGCTCCTCTGACATGATCAGAGACCTTTTATTAACTATTATTTTTGTCATTTTAATTTTGGAACCATTTTTAATATGATATATAGAGATAAACAAATACTGAAATAAATATATAAACATAAATATACATATGTTATGAGAATGTAGATATAATACATTACATATTTGACGCTAATGTCGTAATATTCCTCAATATAAGTACCTAGCGCCACATGTTTCTGCCCTTCACTTGTTACACTGCGTTGGGTTTGGTGCTCCCCGTCTTCGTCGTGCCGTATTCACGCAAACGCTCCATCATGTGTAACATGTCTTGTAGAGACGTTTGCGTGGCCTTCTAGGACTTTCGACGTAATGGTCTGAGCTGCCAAGACCTGTGCGTGTCAAGTGAAGGACATCGTCTTGGTCCCATTTGTTTGGCCACCGACCACGCCTTACTGTGCCATTGTCCTTTTCTCTGCAGGTGCCCGCCCACGACGACGGCTCCACATTACAACACCGGGTGAGGGCCTCAGCACAGCCTGTGGTGTAGGCTTGCAATAGATGCACTTTTTGGCTTTCGAACCACCACGGCAAAGTATTCGGCTCATTTTTAAATTTGTACCATTTCTGATGAAGATGGACAGAATTTGATGTATTTAGCTTCTTGCCGCAATGGTCTGAGTTATATTTCCATTGTCTTGGCACCCTGCACACCACCTGGCTGGCGATCCCGATGATCGCATCCTCGCCGCCGCCGGACTCCTGTGAATCTGCACTGACCTCCCCATATGGGGAACTATCTATCAGTGTGTCGATGCCTGTATTGTTGTCAGCCTGTGGGACGCCCGATGCCACCTTAGCAATAGCTAACAGCCGCTCGGGCCAAAGCGTCCCACTTCCTACGGACAGGACAGTCTTGGGCGAAAATTGAGTGGCCTGTGTCGGGTTCTTTATCCCTGCTGCAGTTGATGCAGGTAGGCTTCCCCCCCTCAGCGGACCCAGGGCAATCCGCCTGGAGGTGGGGCCCCCCGCAGTGGTTACACAGGTCCACTTTTTCCGTGCAGCTTTTTCGCCCATGTCCGTAGGCCAGACACCGACTACACTGGACCAGCGGAGTCTGATCGAATACCTTCACGTGCTGTAAATCGATATAGATTCTACCAGCCGAAGTCAGCCTCTCCCACAGCCGCGGCGTGACCTGGAGGACGACGTGGTTCTCGAGAGAGTTCCGCGCCTTCCTCCGGTACTTGATTGTCACGGCTGACTCCTCGGCTGATAGACCCTCCAGCAGGCGGGCGTTCTGTGTCTTTAGAGCGGCCTTAATATCCTCTTCGGTATTGTAGGCCAGAAGGTCACGGACAATTACGAGTGGATTACGCTGACGTGCGTTCTCCACCCGCAACTGCCCGTCGGCCCTGAGCTGCTCGGTCATCTTCTTCAACTCCTCCTTGCTGCCGCAGCTCAGAACCACCCTCTGGTCCTTGATTTTTCGGACTTGTTCCACCTGAAGGCCGCTCACCTTCGCGTTCAACGCCTGCCGGACTCGACCCACAACGTCGCCACTAGTTTCCGTTGCGTCGCCGGAGGACACAACGATTGAGTGCTTTGGTCTCACGACCCGCCCTACACTCTTCGGTTTCGACAGGACCTCCGCATAAGAGGGCGCTTCCGTTCTCATCTCGGAGACCTGTCTTCCGATCTCCCGGGTCGCTGACTTGAGCTCTTGCATGTCTGCAAGGAGCTCTGTGTTCTGATCGTTGTGTCCCTCGTCGACGGGCGCCGTTTCCATCCTCCGCTGATCATTTATAGCTGCCTTGAGTTCACCCATTTGCACAGTGGCTGCTTTGAGCAGCTCACCGTGCTCCGCCATTTTTATAATGAGTGCGTCCTTTTTTCCGTCGATATTTTTCTGTGCCGGAGCCGTTAAACCCGCAACCTCTGCGCCCTCAGGGAGACTCTGGTGTTCGGACTCCTTCACCAACTGGTAGAGGCGCTCAACGGCTAGTATCGCCTGGGTCTTGATTTCCGTTTTTAGGTTTCTCGCAAGACCCAGTTGACACTTGGCCTGTTTCAGCCAGTATCGCGCCTCCACCGTCCGGTTCTCGAATACTCGAGCTGGCCGAGGGGACTTCGGAGAGGGTGCGAGCTCAGTATCACGCTCCCGCCGTTTGTCTTGGCTGCGCCGGACACTATTTATCGGGGCCGCACTGCGCTGCATCTTCGTCTGCTTTTCGGTGTCCGGAAACAGCCTCCGGACCGCATTAGGAGGGGCCGGCGACTCGGGAGTTGTATCGTACATAATGGCGGGGAAAGTAGTCAAGGTGAAAGGAGCACCCGGCTCAACGATATATGTATTGAATCCCTGTAAAGAGGGGATACAATGTCCAAAGTTTGATATATATTTTCCCTGTATAGAGGGGTTGTCAGTATACGATAGTTATTTAATAAGTTAAAATAGTACCCTGTAAAGGGGGGTCAATAAAATAATATTAATTTGTCAATAAATAATTTTGTCTGGGCGTTCATTGCCTTCTTTATAAGGCGGCCTGTGGCGTCGTCGGCGTCGTCGGTGTAATAGACGCAACTGACTTTGTGTCGTGACACCGCCACAACTGCGTGGGAGACGCTATCGTGGATCTGGAGCCGCCTGGCTTTGGTGTTGATTATTAAAGCGCTGTCGCAGGTCAACCCCTGGGCCTCGTGGATGGTTAGTATTTTAGACCCCTCGCCAGACCCATATCCCTGGCTAGCAAGGGAAATCTTCTCCTCCTGTGTGTGGACCAGGAACAAGGTGTTCCGGGCAAGTCTCGGTATGGTCGCTCCCGAGTAACCCTTCACCCTCAGGGAGTGCATCCGCGACGTCCTTGAGGAGTATATGCCAGGGTATATCTCGCTCAGCGCGTACGCCACGTCCATGGGGTTGCGGTGTGTGCAGAGAAGCTCTAGGGTGATTTCAGCCACCATGTCTGGACGTGTGTATCTGAGCT